CAACATTTTTTTAAAGACCTTTTCAGATTTGTATTAATCCCCCAAAAGATAAAGGTAACCAGTTATTTGCCAGCTCTAAATCTCTCTTTTCCATTCTTAATTTCCTATTGCTCCTACAGCTAAATCAACCTACTTTTTAAGTTCTACTGGCATGTCATGCAGCCAATGTGCAAACTGAGAGTTGCAGTAGCCTGCATTCAAGAAACACATACTCTTCATTCCATTTTGGTTCATTGCTGGCAAAAATAGTCAGAGGTTAACCTAGTATCACAAGCAACCTGATAAAACTTGATTTGCTAAGTTATCTTCCTAGTCCACCATTTGCTTTTAAAAAAGCAGTGTCACAAATTAAAGTGTGTGTTGTATAGGGTCCTGGCTTCTATCCATCCTGAAGCTACATACAGTGAACTTTACTGGGTAACCTCAAATTCTAAGGTGTAGAAACAGAGGTTAACAGTGTTAAAAATACACCTTATTTTCAACCAATGTTGCTTTAAGGTTAGATTCCAGCAGAACCAAAACAGCAGTTTTCATTGGTGCCCAAGTCATACTGAAAGCAGTAAAAATGTACAGTACTAACCTACAGCTCAGGTTACCTGTTGTGACAGGATACCTGCTGCAAGTTGCTCACTCTTGCAAAGGTAATTTTCAAAAGATGCAGATTTAATTTCCAGAGCAGCTACACCTGAATTAGTTTTTTGGGATGATACATAGGTACTTCCTTTTTTCAACTCCCCAACTGTTCAAATTAAATACCAAATGTTATCAATGAAGAGTAGGGGTTCTAGCACTGTGCAGAAGGGAATGATATGACGTCTTCTGTGACGCAAATACACCGTGCTTTGTGCAGTTTTAATAGCTTGCATCAGAATGAACTGCCCCATAACTGAGCAGATTTTGGCATCAGTCTAACAGAGAAGCCCCACCAGATCATGCGAAAGGTTTATTGTTTATTAATTAATTGTATATCCTGCCCTTCACAGGGACACAGGAAACTGCCTTATACCAGGTGAGACCATTGGACCATCTAAGTTTAATATTATCTACATTGACTGACAACTGTCTCTTCAGACTCCAGGATCTCAGACCAGAAGTCTTTCCCAGCCCTACCTGGAGACGCTGGGGATTGAACCTGAGACCTTCTGCATGTGAAGCAGATGCTCTACCAGTGAGCTACAGCTGTTCCCTCAATCCCCAAGGAGCACAGGGTAGCAATAACGAAGTCAAAACAATGCCAATTGAAAATGAAGCGTAGCATCCAACTAAGTTTCACTTGGAATAGATGCACTGGAAATCAATGGCCTTAAGTTCATCAGTGGGCCTAGTTGGACAAGCACAGGATACAACCCAGAATACGTAATCCAGCATCCCATTTCCACAACACCAGCTAGCCAAACCCTTCAGGAAAGCCCACAAGCAGGGCACAACAGCAAACGGCATTAGCAACCATTGCTCCCCAGCAATGACTATTCAGTGGATTGACACCTCTGAAGATGCTATCACAGCAGCTGCTAGACCTATTTCCCACTTTTCCAAGCTATGTCCAGGTATTAGCCACACATCATTATGGACCTTAAAATAACTGGTTGTCTGTCACAAGCATGTCCCAGACAGATCACACACAATGAAGCAGCACCTCTCTTCTGACAGTTCCTACTGAGAGGCATCAGAAAAATATGCAAATCCCAAGTTGTGTGAGCCATCAGAACATATTGCCATTGTCCATCATTTGATTTTCAGAGATGCAAACCTGTCCTACAGGTTGCAACCATCCTAAAGATGCTAGCAAGCAATCCCCATTGGACTCATGGGGCCGCAAGGTTTGTCTGGAAAGCTCAACAGCCCTTTTTCGGCCTTATTACATAATAATTTTATTACTTATACCCCGCCCTTCCAACTGTTATAAAGCACCCACCCTTTTAGGAACATAGGAAGAAGCTGCCTTATACCAAGTCAGATCCATGGGGCCATCTAACTCAGTATCTACACTGGCGGCAGCTCTTGAGGATTTCAGACCAGAGTCTCTATCTATAGATGAATGGGACTGAAACTTGGGACCTTCTGCCTGCACAGCAAATATTCTACCACTGAGCTACAGCCCTTTCCCTATTTTTTAGAGCCTTGTCTTAAAACTAGAAGCTCAGAAACAAGCACCGCTTGCCAGATTTGCGGGATTAGTTTTAATATGAGCACGATGTCAATAGGAAAGCATCACTTCAAACTTTGGCAGCTCCTGGCAACCTATTGTTTATTGCAAGTCCCATCTGTTATTCTCAGCTTCCTAGCTAATGAAGGCCACTTTGCTGGTGATCAAGACATCCATCATGCTTCTCCCATGCACACACAGCCCAACAGCAACGTGAAAACATCAAGGTCAGGAAGAAATCATCCAACTGAAAATTGCTATTTTTTTAAGCGGGGGGGGGGGAGGGAGGAAGAGAACCAAGACTTAGTAAACGTAAGCAATTCCATGTCCCCCCCCCAAAAAAAAACCTTTCTAATGTCAAGACACCTTTCTTGGTATATATACAAGATGCCTCGAAAGAGCAAAATGTCAAAAGAGCTATTTAGTTGTGCAGTTCAAGTATGTCGGTAATATGTGATATTTAGATGCCCTCTCCACCAAAATGAGAAAAAAAAGAGCTACTGACCAGAAGATGTCAGATTCCCTTTTAATGTGAAGGTGACACAGACTATAGAAAAAGATACCAACTTCACAGCTGCATAGTTTGCCGAAGCACCTCATATTCCGAGATGCTATGGGAAAATAGGGTTGGGGAGTTTGGTTCCACTCCAAAGAAATTGGACAATTCAGAGAGGGAAAAATCCCCGAGGCAGCAGGAACATCCCTCTGGGACCGGGTCCAGTGACGGTGAGACACACTTGAGGGTCACAGGCACACAGTGGCTTCCTTCGCCCCAGGGAATTGGCCAGTACCAATGGGGGGGGGACCAAGCTCTGGAGTATGCCACTTGATTCCCACCATGACAAATTCTCCTAAGCAGATGCGAGATCAAAGGCAGGAAAGATGAAAGCACCTGCTCAGGCTAGCAAAAAGGGAAGGTGTGTGGATCACTGATCTCTCAGCCTATTTGAGTGAGTGAATAACTCACACAGACCCTAGTTTCGGGGGGGGGGGGGCAAGGTATCATCACCTGATGCATTCTTATTGTGTTTCCTTGCACACCAGTTTCTAGAACACAACTCTAATGACCTCTCCCAAACATCATGGCACTGTACTCCCTCCTTTAGCAATTAACCACTAGAGCTTTGGGTGAAGAAAAAGGTTATGTTGCTCCCCCAAAAAATCTATTGCATCTCATGTTCATTCAACTCCCCAGAGAGCTCAACCCCATTTCCTATAGTGTGGATGGGGGAAACCAGTTTTTTATCCACTGCTGTCCACCCCCTAAAGGACTTTCTAGAACATAAGCTTGCTTGCCTTGCCCCGAGGGAGCCTACAAATCTTTTGTTCCTACAGAGTGCTTGTTCTTCCATTCCCTGCCCCAAACCCTGTAAATACATGTCAGAAACACAAAATTTCAGCAATAATCACCCAGTGCTTTACCAAGGGCTGCTTCCCCAAAATCAGTACCAGAAGGAAGATCACCCCTCATGTAGCACATTTCTAAAATGCCTGTTATGAACAGTTGTCTGATAAGATGCATCTGGTCAAAGCCTGTAAATGAAGTTTCCACAGAGGGAACTTTTGTCTGAGAACTCCCAGATGCATTCAAGAACCTCCAGCTCCTTCTGCTAAAAGGCACTTGTCAACAGGAGGGTGTGCTGCTGCCCCATAAGGACCCTCACGACGACGTGGCTCTCATTTCCCATACTTTTTAAGAAGCCCTCCAGTCCCAGACAATACAGACTCCTTTCATCTGATCTGAATGAGGCTGCCTATCACTCAGAACCCAAACACACCATCTCCGCTTTTGTTTCACACTGGGAGAGCCAGTCACTCAAGCAGCTTTTTACAAAACCCCAAGCCGTTCTAGCACGCTTCCTGCATCCATCTCAAAATATAACAAAGGCAGCCTTGCCAAATCATACCAGAAGGCTCAGATGGAAGCCCAGGGCCACTTTTCACCTCCAGCAGTGGCGATCCAGGTACCTACAGGAAGCTTACAAGGAAGGCTACACCCCCTTGTTGCCATCAGCAGCTGGTGTTTAAAGGCATGCTGCCACTGGATGCAAAGGACTAACAGCCCACATCCTATGCTGCTTAACTGTACAAGCAGGAAGAGCACAGCTGAAAGCAAGGTGCAGCAAGACCCCGATTGCAAATCTCAATTCTAGTTGGAACTCATTGGGTGCATAGCCACAGTTGCAACCATTCTCTCTCTCTCCTCCCCCCCCTTGCAATATAGGGATAAGCAACACAGAGCTACCTTGCAGAGATGCTGCTAGGATTACAGAGAGGACACCCAACAAAAAGCACTTTTGAGCACGCCGGGGTGCCACGTTATCGTTGGAGAAATGCAAGCTCACACACACAAACACACACTCTGAAAGATGCAATTGCCTTTGCAGCTCATGAGCTACCCATCTAATGCAGACTTACCCAGAAGCCCCTACCTAGTTCACGCTTCGGAGTTGCTTCCAAAGTCTGCGGGCAGCCAGTTTAAAGGGATCTCCTGCACTTGCAAGGAACGACACCCCAAACACAAAACCAGCACCTTTCCAGGGTGGGCAGCCGTGCCCTGGCACCGCCCCCTATTTTTCTTACCAAGCGCCTATTGTCTACCTTTCTCATTATTCGCGCAGAGTAATGCAACACAACAAGAACAAATGGTTTAGGGTGGTGCAATCCTACTTCCGTACGACTCATTTAACTTCCGAGAGGACATTGCACCCGATTTGCGTTGCTCCGTCCAGAAAATAAGCTTGCATTTTGTTTTTCCCCGCACCCCAAAAATCAAGACACCCCCCACCCCGTTTTGTTTTGCAAAACGCCCATTCCCTCCTCAATGCAAGTTGCAGGCTTTCTATGTCCGCACCTTGGTTAACCAGTCTCAGCGCGTGGGTGAAGGACGGATCCAGGGAGTCCTTCTCCGCCATCAGCTCCGGCAGGTACTTCTCCTCCATGGCCCGCCCGCCTGCCCGAGGGAAGGTGGGGGGACCCGGGCTCGCCTAACACGCAGGCAGAAGAAAACAAAAAGAGGAGAGGGAGGAAAAGCGGGAAGGAGACAGAGGAAAACAGGAAAAACACGCGCGCACGAACGGCGGTGCAGCGGCAGCCGCGCAGCAAATAAATCCTCGCTTGCAATGCAGCCTCGGAATGGAGAAAAACGGAAACAAAATAAAAATATTAAGGTGCAAGGTAAGGGGAAAGCAGCAAAAATATGAAAAAAGGGGGGAATCGCGGAGGAAGCGACACTTGTTACGCCCTCCAAGCCGGGCGCATCCAGGAAAAGCCACGCGCGCCTCTGCTTTCCCCACCAAAATCCTGCTTATCCAAACCAGCAGCGCAGCAGCGCCGCTTCCTTTTCCAGACGCAGCCGCCCGCACCGGCTACGAGCCGCGACTGAGCGTTCGAACGCCGGCGCAGTCCTCTTTAAATAGCCGCGCACGCCACGCCCCCGGCTGTCAGGAAGCCACGCCCCCTGCTCTCCCTTCTCAGGCAACTCGGAACAAGGCGGAGGTGGAGCTTCTCGAGCCCGCCCACCTTTGTTGCCTACTGGGTAGGAGACGCGCTTGTCTGCGAAAGAAAGCGTAACACGGTCTCCGATTGGTTGATTCCCCCCTCACCTCAACCCGCTGCGTTCGGCTGGAGGACGGCGGGGCGTCTCCTCCTGCTCCTCGCTGGTGTTTTGAGACTCGCGCGCCAAAGTCAACGGCAAAAGGGCGGGAAGGGAGCTTGGGTGCGAGCGTTTCCCGCTGCGGCGATTGGGCGGAGAGAAGCGAGGGGGCGGGCATATAGCGCGCGAGGCTGCTGTCATTCACTGAAGCGGCGCGCTCGCGCCAATTGACAGTGGGTGGAGCCGTCAAAGCCGCCTCAGGGCGCATTCAACGCCTCGCTCGCTCCCTCATTTATTTAGTTCACAAAATTTATACGCCGCTTCATTGTTATTTTTTAAAGCAACCTCAAAGCGGTTTACAGAAAAATAAAACAGTAAAACTGAGGGGAAAGTCCGCAGTCATGTTTTGAAACAAAAATCACGAAAACAGGTTAAAATCGCCTCAGCTTTCTAAGCTTTTTCTAAACAGGAATGTTTTCAGAGCGCCTCCCTTCCTTATTATGGAAAAGCAAAGATACAAAATAAAGGTCATCAAGGCTATAATAAAATGCTGCTACATTAATGCATATGGACATACATTCTATTTAAATACTTGTGTGCTGCTTTTCCAACATCCAAGCTGAGCTCAAAGCACCTCAGGACAACAATAAACACTTCCTAATACACTCTCTCTCTCTCTCTATATATATATATATATACACACACACACACACATCACAATAATGAAGCCATAAGTGCAATAAATTGAAACAGTAGTTAATGACATGCAATGCTATATAAAAGTAAAACTCAGAGAAGAATGATTAAAATCTAAATCAAAAGAATGAATGCAAGCCAATTTAAGTAACAAAACCAAAGTCTTGCTGGACACCTGTTGCTTTTAATCAGCTACATATATGAAAACGGTTAAAACCGCATTATACCTCATGGTAAAGCCAAATAAGTGCCCTGCCTCAAATTTATTTAGATTTTTTTTAAAAAAAAAAAAAGCTTTAGAACAGTAACACAAAAAAGACAGCAGGCGAGGAGGAGGAGGAGGAGGAGGAGGAGGAGGAGGAGGAAGAAGAAGAAGAAGAAGAAGAAGAAGAAGAAGAAGAAGAAGAAGAAGAAGAAGAAGAAATTACACGAAAGGAAGATGGATTGGAAGGGAAGAGGAAAAAAGGAAACTTAGTTCTAAAAGCCAGCCGACCTGGAAAAGTAAAAAAAAAATCTGTCTCTCAGTTGCATCATCCCTTCTCCATATGAGATGCCTATGATTATAATACTATAAAAAATTATTGTTTATATGCCACCCATCTGACTGGGTGAAGCAGGTCATTGGCCACATCAGAGGCAACTTGAGTTAGGAAAATGGTGTCCAAGGAAAAGACCAGGCTTCTTGTTCTCTCCCTCGTTTCTCACTTCTCATCTTGATCAACTCTCCAAAAGCAGAATATCTTTTCCTTTTTAAAGGACAGACCATCAGAACACATCTGTTAATTAAGTGATCCTAAGGAGTAGTTTGTCCTGCTTATAAGCAGCAAAAGGAAGCCACTGGAAATAAGATAACTTAAGATAACGTTACCCATACAGGCCACAGTGGGTTCATTTGGGGAAAGGAGGGATACAATTGCAATTAAGAAACAAGAGGCTGCTATTATCAGGTACATAAGTTTACAATGAAATTGGACACTCTAAGGTGACCAAATGGACTCTGCTCTCCATTGCTTCCACCAAACCCATCTGGCACTTGATAGATTATGGCACTATTTTTACTTAAGACCTTGGATAACTTTCTCCTTGGCCTTTGTGAGTTCTATCAATGAATCACTGTTTCCTGTGTTCCAGAGAGAGAGAGAAAACTAAAAACAAACGTCTTTGTAAGTAACATTTCTGGAACAGCGATGAAAGTTGTCAACAACGTTAAATAAAGTGGTCAGTAAGAGCAGATACTGGTCCATGGGGTCATGAAGAGTCGGACACGACTAAACGACTAAACAACAACAAAGAACAGATACAAGCACTATTAAGTTTTACCTGATTTGCACAAATTAACAATTTGTGTGACATATCTACACACTATGGAACAGCATTAATGCTGGAGAAAAATACTCAAGAAAAAGGCAATGGAAACTTCCACGAGCGCAATGTGCTGGGTGCAGAAGTCTCTGCTCACAAATGTTTCCATTGCTCCTTGTATGTATATATTTAAATTATTGTTACCATGCTCATGCATGTTAAAATACTTGGGTGAATGGTTATAAACCAAAAACAGAGCCACTACATGGTATATATGTGCTCTGGGTGATTAACAATAGAGCAAGAAAAAAATGCATTGTTTATGATAATTCTGATTTTCAAGTATGTTTGCAAAGTAAACACAGCTACTGTACTTGATAACCAGAAAGAAAATACTAGTTCATGAGGTAAAATGCAAGTACGCTTCTAGGAGGAAAAAAAAGTTTTAAAGGGCCTGTTGGTATGCTTTCACATAGAAAAACCAACCTCCTATACAGTGGTGCCCCGCAAGACGAATGCCTCGCAAGACGAAAAACCCACTAGACGAAAGGGTTTTCCATTTTTTAGTTGCTTCGCAAGACGATTTTCCCTATGGGCTTGCTTCGCAAGACGAAAACGTCTTGCGAGTCTTGCGATTTTTTCCTGCTTTCCCCCCCCCCCTTTTTCTAAGCCGCTAATAGCCTTTTAGCCGCTAAGTCGCTAAGCCTTTAATAGCCGCTAAGTCGCTAAGCCTTTAATAGCCGCTAAGCCGCTAAACCGCTAATAGCGCTAATCCGCTAAGCCGCTAATAGGGTTGCTTCGCAAGACGAAAAAACCGCTAGACGAAGAGACTCGCGGAACGGATTATTTTTGTCTTGCGAGGCACCACTGTAATCTCTTTACCAAAACTAGAACAATCAATAGATTACTGAAAAATGTTTTGCAAAGCTAACTCTGTTAACGGAAAAATCCGAGGGCTCCCTTGGACAAAAACAAAAACACCAACCAGGATAACTTGGAGCAAAACAGCAGCCTGTAGGCTTGGCATTTATTGACCTGTTGCAACAGGGTGCTCCCCTCACTTGCAGGAGAGACGAAGGACCCAGAAAAGTGGTGTGCAAGGCCTTATAAAGACTTTTGAAATTGCCACCCTGTAGATCAAGACATAGGGACGCGGGTGGCGCTGTGGGTAAAAGCCTCAGCACCTAGGGCTTGCCGATCGAAAGGTCGGCGGTTCGAATCCCCGCGGCGGGGTGCGCTCCCGCTGCTCGGTCCCAGCGCCTGCCAACCTAGCAGTTCGAAAGCACCCCCGGGTGCAAGTAGATAAATAGGGACCGCTTACTAGCGGGAAGGTAAACAGCGGGAAGGTAAACAGTGTGTGCGGCTCTGGCTCGCCAGAGCAGCGATGTCACGCTGGCCACGTGACCCGGAAGTGTCTCCGGACAGCGCTGGCCCCCAGCCTCTAGAGTGAGATGGGCGCACAACCCTAGAGTCTGTCAAGACTGGCCCGTACGGGCAGGGGTACCTTTACCTTTACCTTAGATCAAGACCACCCCCAGAAACATCATACATACATCACAGAAGGGGTGTAACCTAAGACCGACCCCTCAGATACACCACACCTACATCACAGAAGAGGCGGTCCAAAATATAAATTTTAATATTGTTTTCTCCTGTTTTTGTTTATCTCCTGTCTGGCAGGTTACTTGATTGGATTTCCTGGGTAGCTTGGCCAGTCTTTTGTAATGATAAATAAATAGTTCCCTGGTCCAGGTCACAGGCTCACACCCTATTCAAACATGAGACATACCCTTAAGACAGGATTTGTGAAGGAAAAGACAATGGGGAGGCTTTTCCAGTTTGGCCTTGCAGAGAAAACATTTGCTCAGTTTAGGAATCAAAATGGTTCCAGGTTGGCCTTCCTGTGCTGATCTATGTATGTGCTTGGTTGGTATACTTATGAACATTATCATATATTTAAGAGCATAAAATTCCTATTACAACTCTAACAAACTCTCATTAAGACCTTTGCAAACATCAGGTCAAGGGTTACTGTGTAAACCAAGTGTTAAGCAAAATTCTGGAACTCTGGGTTCAATCAACCAGCATCACCAAAGGGAAAACACATTTATATACCCTTGAAGCACATAGCTTTTGCACAAAAATGGTTGTGGAAAAGCTGAGATGTCCTATAGACTTCTGCTGAAATCCTGCTCACCAGTGACTTCCCTGTATGCTCTATAAAATGTAGCAACAGGTCCCTTTCTCCTCTCTCTCCCATTGACTGTCCCAAAGTAAGTTGCTATAAAACCGTTGGATCCAATCTGAGCCAGGACCAGCCTCACAATCTGTTTTCAGTATTAGGACTGAACCATGTTTATTTTTTGATCATTTTAAATAATGTTATGTGCTATGTGACTGATTGTTCGAACTAGTTAACTGTTTTGAGTGTTCTCTATAGAAAAACAGAGTATCTATGCCTTTTAAAATAAAATAAATCATGCAGTGGTAGGAACAGATGGCAAATACATATATTTTTAATCCCTGAATCATACCTAACAAAAATAATTAACACATATACTTTAACACACTTGGTTCTCTGCAAGTTAGCCATCTTTTGGGGTGCCACACCACACCAAAAAAATATACCAAAAATAGCAGTACGAGACGGAAATAATCTTCAGCCAAGGGCACAAGAACAAACACGCCTTGTATAATAACAGCAATGCCATCTGTAATGTCCTTGTTGAACAAACTGAGCTTTAGTCTCAAGTGTGCACAGTGCATGCAACTCAATTAATCTACCCTGAGAAATGGAAAATCAA